CCCCCCGGCTCTTACATGCTTCTTGTCACTACTTTTTTTTCCCCCCCTCAGTCTCTTCCAGTCTGTCCGAAATGCTTCTACATTTTTTTTTCTTCTACTACACTGGGCCATTCCCTTTTTTACGTTAGTTTGCTGGTTTCCCTTCGCATTATAGATCATCTTTGTCTAAAAAAGCAGTGCAAACAGCACCTCCCAGTGCCATTCATATCCAGTGTGTCATGTGTCTTGTCCCAGTACCGGTCTCATGAGGCAGAAACCATGTTTCTCAGGTGTGATCCTAAATGTGCTAAACAAATAAAACTCCAGAGACAATGGGAAAATGACCAAGAAACCATGGTCTCCAATTCATGGCTCTCTACGAGCCCCTTTCTGCAGAGCTCCCATCAAAAGTCGATATGACAGTGCATCCACTGCTGGCAGGACCAGATCCTTAGAGCCAGATAACCCTCGGTTCCCTGGTACAGTATTTATGGCATCAGTGGGGTGAATTCGCCCGCATTTCAAGGCAGAATGCATTTGTCTCTACTTTTTCCTGGCTTTTGTTCACCAAAAAAACCCACATTAGCAAACCCGTGTTACTAACTGCTTCCTGCTTCTGTTGTTTAGTGTTTTGTAGCTACTACGGCTGGCCAACAAGCTGTAAATCTTGCCTGATGTTTTGTAACAAAGGAAAAAATAGAATGATTTGTGTTGACTTTTGGTCATCGTGTATCATTACTGATTTGAGGGCGGGCGGTGGAGTAAGGCGTACTGTGTATCTGCTGCTTGCCAGTTCTCCAGAAAGGCGGTGTTAGCTAGCAGTCAGTAGAGGGCAATAGAGAAATACAGTTTGCGATACCTAAAGGATTTGAAGCACTGATTATGTGTTTACAGAAAAGAAAAAGAAGAAAAGAAGAGCCAGGAGGATAGGTTGTTCAGTTTACTACTGGAGACCTGACTGTGACAGACCACCAAGAAAACAAAATTTTCAAAGAGAGCAAAGAAGACCTTCTGCAGCATCTGTGAGTCTCTCCTTTTTTCTTCAGAGTTACGTAGAATAACTTAGCCAGAACTTATTGATGACTGCATGATCAGTGGACTCGGGAATGGACCGGGAGATGCGGGAAGGCACTCTTTAGAAGGAACAGAAGAGGAGGCATTTCAAAGATCCTGCAGGTGACTGAGGTGAGCAAACTCACAGCTTCTCTTTCAGGTGAGATAATAGGTGTTCAGTCAGCTGTATAAAAGTCTTGAGAAAACTAGGTGATTGAAATTATATGAGAATTTTGCTTTTTCAGGCATGCTGGTGCAAGACTAATTTTATCTTGGAAAAAAAGGATAGGGATGCTACAAGGATAAGCATTTCTAAGCCTATGTTATTTTGGAGACATGCTAAAACTGGTGACTTGTTTTATGAGTAATATTTTGCATTAGAACTGTTTGAAACATGCTCATCATTTTACAAGGTTTATGTGCTATAGTTCCTAGACACATTTACAGAGAAATATATAAAGAAGATGTGACCATCGTTGTTCCTTTTAGAGGGGATTTTTGCTAAGCTTTTGGACAAATGTGACTTGGAGGTTTGGAGAAATTTATTAAGAGGTTTTGGATGCATGGTGGGAGTGCTGTCAGATTCTTCAAAGGCTTTATTATCAGATGAGAAGTGATAATAAAGAATACAGCAATAACAAAAGGAGTTAAGCCACAGAAATCAAGGGGCTAACAGAGGGTTGGGAAAGCAGAAGAAAACCCAAGAGACTAAGTTAGGAAATAAGCATATGAAACACTTTTCTATTGCCAAGATCTCAGCTGGTGTCACCATAACACTTGGAGAATATCCTCAGGGTGCTGGGAACCATTAAAGCAGTACAGATTATCAGAGGATAAACTTCCACTTCAGCTGCCACTGGTACCAGAAGTGACCAATAAGAAACGTTTGAGAAACGAAAGATGAAGAATTTAAGTATTGACATTCTGGGGATATCACAGAGTAAGTGCAAGGGTATCTAGAGGTCAGACAGTACCCATCTGAAACATGACAGACTGATAAATAAAAGAAATAAATCATATTCTAAAACATACCATCAGCTTTGAAAAGCTAATTAAAGGTAAAGTTATCTAGTATTCCTCCTAAGCCTGGATTTATTTTGTAAGTGGTATAACAGGTAAAGCTATGGCACACTGATTTATCTGCGCTTTGAGTGCCACATATGTAAAAGATTAATACGATGATTGTTTATACACTGTTTAGAACACAGCTTCCTTGCAGTATGTACCTGAGGGAAGTGAAAGATAACGTATATAAAGCATGTCACTGTTTTGCATGGGTTGTCAACATCTATCTCACAGGAAAGAGACTCAATGAATATCAGAATCCCCCAGATCTTGAAAGCTACAAGTTCCAGTCTTCAATTTTTTATTTCCTTTCATTCCATTTCCAGTGCTCTAGATTTTCTTGTATGCCTGCAAATGCATTCTCTCAAAAGATAACAGAAATGAAAGATGGTATTGAACAAAAACCTCAGAAACATACCTGCAAGTTTAAGGAAATCCATACTTGTGTACCAACTCCTCTTTAAAGTGGTCTCTGGTAGCCATATTAGTTCTTTATCTAAAATGTGAAGCTCTAAGGCAATAAACATTCTCTTAGAACTGATACCTATTTTCAGTGAAATTCGCATGATTGGTGTTTGCTGGAGAGTTTTCTCATGGGTGGTATCTCTACAGATATAATCAAAGGGATTTTTGTAGTGGGGAGTCACATGGGTCAGCAGCTGGAGCTGAGAAATGGGATCTAATGCTAGTTCAAGTCCAGGCTTTGCTTTGCCTCTGTGTGACTTGTGGTACGTTAGGCCTTGCTATGGTCAGCTTATGAAGTGGCCAGCCTGGTGTCTTGTGCAGGCTAAGGGCTGGGCTTTGAATGGCAAGCTGCAGGTGTACAAGGAGGCCCTCCTTGTATAGAAGTTATGGGAAAGGTCATTGTCTAGTTGCAGTGTCCTTCAGTACATAGACAAACTCCTAGGCCAGTTCTGGATATGAGTCCTTGTCACCTTGAGTCATAAGAAACCATTCTTTCATTTTCACTAACAAAACAGCTGTCTAAAAATGTTGAAATGTCAAGCCAAAGTTCCATCTGTGAAAAAGGTGCTGCTAATTAATGTGTTAATTGTCATGTAAACCTCTTTGCTTAATGAGATGTGAGATGACCTCTACTGTTAGGAATATCAGTGTGCACAGGATTTTGTCCCAAGCCCTCAGGGTCATTTATTGCTGTGCTGCAGCACAACCCAGGGCTGCTACTTCAGCCTCCTGCCAAAATGGGAACATTTCACTTTCTGATGAGTCATCTGAGTTTCACTCAGATCTCATAAGGTTTCCCCACCCTGTTCTTCTTTGCTGTATAGTCCAGGCCCTGCCCTAGAGGCTTTGCTTTCCCAGCTAAAAGATGAGGTGGAACCCTCTTCAGCAGCTGTGGGGGTCATTCCTTAATTAATTTGAAGGGGACTGCTAATGGATGATAAGGAGCATTTTCTCTGTCACTGGAGCTGAACATGAAGAATTCCTAGTTTTTTCTGGCTCGGAGTGTGGCAGAGCAGTGCTGGCAACTGAGTCGGAGTTTGCCACACGCTGTGCTAAATGTTACCTGCATCAAGACAGAAAGGGAACTAGGTCAACCAAAGCAGGCAGCTGTAGATATTTTCCATATTGGTCATGTTTACTTGTGAACAACACAGAAGAACTATATGTTTCAGAAAAACATTTCTTGCTTTTTTTTTTTTTTTTCCTTCTGGTGCAAAAAGGGCATAGGGGAAGTCATTTTTTTTAATTTCTTCTTGCTTAAAATTATTTTCTTTTCCTTTTAATTCTAAGGTGGCACTAGTTTGAGCATGAGCTTGGACTAGATGACTTCTAGAGGTTTCCAACCTTACCCTGTAATTTCATGTTGTTATTTTGGATTCTTCCTGACTCCAAATTACCTGGGAGAGGAAAAAAAATACTATTTTAAGATAATTTTCTTTCCCCTCTAAATTATTATTTTAAATCATTTGAAAATGCACCAGAGCGAATAAGAAACAGGTCATTCTAGTGAATAACTGTCATGGAATAGTTTCTGGGTTTTGTGTTCCTGGGCTTTGTCATAAAACGCTTTGGCCATTATTTTCAGGCTGCTTAACAGAATTGGTATTATGCAGAAATTTAGTCAGCTGAGGGCTAAACTATTTGAGGGGTGTACTCCCTGCCACAGTTGAAAAGTGTCTTCTCACACCTGTTTATAGTACCCAAAGTTGGTCTCATGTCTGAGAAGCTGACATCCTTGCTGATGCTTCCACTTTTACGCTTGGTGAGTCAGATGGCCAGAAGGGGTGGAATATTTACTGCCAAAGTTATGTGAAATAATATGAACTTGAAAGATTCATATCAGTTTTTCAGTAATCAATTTTGGCTAAATTCATTCAAAATTAAACTGCTTACCCAGCTGACATCCTTAATTCATCACCCTTGCTGAGACTGAGATCTTCAAAGCTGTTTACAACAGCTAAACAAATGTATCTTCCATTAGCTTCAATTATGAAGCCTGATAAAGTGCACAGAAAATTCAAGTCTTTAGAGATGACAGTGAGAGATATGATTTAGACACAAGAAAATTAATAGAATCAGACTGATACTTAGAGTGAACTTTAAGCCAGAGTTTCACTGTCAAATATGGGTGGGTGGTGCAGTGCTCCTCACCTGCTTCAGAACTGCTGCTGAGGCACAGTGGTAGCACAAGCACATTGTACTTGTGTTGGGAAGAGAGCACTTGAATCTTCATTGCCAGTAATGTGGCACTGTCCCCAAAACTTACTCCTCTTTTAAAGAGAAAAACTAGAATGGAGAGGATGTAGCTACTCCTTAAGTCTGAAGCAGCTACAGTAAAGAGGAAAAACTCCACATGACAATAATTTAATT